CTGATTACCATCTGTTTTTGTCTTGAGCTTGACATTGAGTTCCTCACAGAGTTTCAGTAGAGCGTCCTTTTCTCTGTTTAACAGATCTCTATTGGCTTAAAGCTCAATCACTGTTTCGCACAGAGCCTTGTTTCCCTCGAACATGATCGATAAGTCATCCACCTCGTTATCTGTTTCTCTATCAGATTCACCATTCTCATTGATATTCCCGAGGTAGGCCAACAAGTTTACTTCGTCTTCATCACTATCTTCAGATTCTGAGTCAACACACACATGCGACTTCTCCTTATTCCGGTTTGTTCCAACACACTCAAACTTTGAATGTCCCATGCCTTTGCGCAGTCGGTGCATCTAAGAGTTTCCCTCCTCTTGATTGTGGGACATTCAGATCGAATGTGTCCATATTCCTCGCATTCATGACATTGAACCTCTGTCTTCCAGGAGTGTTTCTCAAATTTCTGTTCCCCTTCAGCTTTGTTGACTGTTGACACAAATCTCTTCTGTCCTTTGTCAAACCGTTTGAAGTACTTTTTGACCATCATACCAACTTTATCATCCAGATCATCTGTCACAGTGGCCTCCTTTGCAGTGGAGGCAATTTCTTTAGATTTTTCAATCATCTTTGACATTAAATCTAGTTCATGTGCTTGCATCATCCCTTCAACATGGTTGTACTTCATCTCGTCATAATTCCATGACACTTCATGCGCTGATATGTGTTCTTGGAATTTGTCAGGCAGACACCTCAATAACTTTTTCACCAATTTCTTGTCCTTGTACTTCTTACCTAGAATTAGTGACTCATTGGCGATCGACTTCAGCTTTCCTTTAAAGGATTCGACCATCTCATCTTCCCCCATAGTGATCGTTTCATATTGTGACTCCATCTTGTCAATTCTGGTTCTTTTGACTGAGCTGGTTCCTTCATACGCTGTTGGTAGATAATCACATATTTCTTTAGCAGTTGTACATTCCTGAACCTGTTGAAACTGGTCTTTGGTGAGGGAGTTCCAAATGACTGTCATCGCTCTGGAGTTGAACTTTGACATGTTCTTCTCTTCGGCTGTCCATTCATGTTTTGGCTTTGGATAGTTGTTGCCATCTGCATCAACAATACTTGGAGATGTCCATCCCTCCTCAACCATGGTCCATGCATCTTCATCGATTCCCTTGATGAGAGCTTGAATCTGAACTTTCCACCACCCAAAGTTTTCTTTCTCGAGCGTCAACGATCTCATTGAAACCACTTGTTGCATGTTTTCCATCCTCTTCCCAGATCACACCTGATTTGAAAGAACAAACAATCTTTAACAGATGTTTGCTCTGATACCAATTATAAGAACATATAACAGGACAACACAAGTTTCTGTGTCTTGGACAGCACCAAGATGAATGTTTTTATTCACTTTAATCAATAAATTAATCTTATCACGATTACACTTATTTACACAACTCTAGAACTCTAGATTGTACCAACCGATCTCAAGCCTATACTAGAACTCACCACACGTGATTCTAGTTCTACCCAATATGAACACTAACCTCAAAGCTTCTTCTTCTGATTTGCTAAAAGCTTTAGGCGCCGTTTTGATCTCTTACTTAGGTTAAAAGTGTTAACCTTTTACTTTTACCCTTAACCCCTTTTATACTAAATCTCTAGAACTAGCAAAACCTAAGTTTCAATTTGCACAAAAAAAAAAGAAAAGCAAAACCTAAGTTTCTTAATCTTGAACCTTAGTTTCTTTTTTTCTCTACCTTTCGCATATACTTCAATATACGAAAGGGTCTTGTGAAAGCCTCCTTGGCACGTCATATTTTTTTCTGTATAAAGAACTTTCCTAAGTCTTCACTTTTTTTTAAGTATATGTGTTGCTCGCTCCATCTCAACTGCATCTTCAATATTAAATACAACTTAATAATATTTATATTCTATAATATTTGACAAAGATAAAGTTCAAATTTTTTTACAAATTATTAAAAAGTATTTTAGATACAACCCGTCGTCTATGTTTGGTAAAACCATCTTAATATTATTGATTTTTTTTAAAAAACGTGAATTATCATTTGGTTTCATTTCTTCTATTTGATTGGTTTAACAGTTTGAAATAAAAAATCAACATGGGTTATTTGATTCAACAATTATTTTAAAAATTTATAGATTATTTTAGAAAAATCCTAGTTGTTTAATAATTTTACTATTATTTTAATTAATACATTTCAAAATTTTAGTCTTTTTTTTAAGATTAATTTCTTAGTATGAGGCCCATATAAAATAATTGAAATATTCATAAAATATGTTATTGTGTATTTTCTAAATTCTGTTACTTAAAAATAAAAATGATTTAAAAGTCCAATGAAGTTTCAGAAAAAGAAAGAGTGAATCTCTCTCACCTTTTGGTTTTTAATATCCCATATTCTTGATTTCACCCATTCTCCCTTTTTTTCTCCTCTTTCGTTTTTTTGCGATTTCTAAAAATTGATCCGTGAGTTACATGAATATATCTATTAATTTATATTATTGTTTTTTTTTTTAATATTTTGTTTTATTGTTTCTTTATTTTACATTTTGTTTTAGTTTCTATATTATCTTAAAATATGTAAACTTATTGTAAAACATTTTTTCTAATATAAACTATGATATGTTAGCTGTTTTAAAAAACATGTTTTTATAATTATACGCTGTCGTTAATATATGTGTCCTCAAATTAAATATTTTTATTTAAATAAAATTTTATATGGATTATTTCCAGCGAAATTAATAAAAAAATTTCACCATTGATCCAACACTATCTTTATTTTTTTATTCGAAACAGATTTTTATTTTTTAAAACAATTATAGTTTTATGATTTATAGAATAGGTATTTTGTTTTTACTTTTAAATTAATGTTATGTGAAGAGCCAAGTTATAGTATTTTTTTAGTATAGTTTACATTCATTCGGATGTATATTTTTCCATTAGAATATATGCATTTTCGTTTTTTATTCATAATATTGTTGATAGGTTTTGATGTTTATCTATTTTTTAAATAGATTTTAGTGAGTTTTATTTGACCTTTTGTGTGATTTTGTTTTTTGTTTTTTTGATTATCTTCATTAGTTTTTCAAATATGTTTTCATACTTTTTTGATCCTTGTTAAAAATAGTATTTTAAATTATTAATTTTATAAAGAATTTATAGATTTTTGGTTTGCAAATTTTTTGTTTTAAATTAATATGATATGAAGGCTCCAGAAAATGTAAACCCAATTTTTTAAAAAATTCATAAAAACAAAATACTGATGTGTAAAATATAACAGAAGTCCATAAGATAATAACTTTTTTTTGAAATAAATATGTTAATATATGATTCAATTAAATATTATAAATTATTAATTATCCTATAATAATATTATAAAAATTTATGACTATGATAATCAACTAAGATATGAGTATATTATTATTTTATATTAAAACTGAATTATTTTTGCAACTCATATCTAATTTAAGATACAGTTTTAGAAAATATTATAAATATTTTATTAACCAATAATTTTTAACTAAGCTACTAATTATTAATAAATAGCTTATTTTATTCTAAAGTCGATAATTAATACAATATCAAAAGTTCCTATATTTATTTTATTATATAAAGTTGTATTCATCAAAATTTGTAATTTATCTGATTGTGACATGTGGTAATTTAAATCAATCAGATTTTTAAATGTGTTACTTAAAATAATATTCAGAAAATAAAGGAAATAAAAGGATAAATATAGATTATTTTCTGAATATTATTTTTAACTGACACATGTCAAAATCTGATTGATTTAAATTACCACATGTCAGATGAATTACTAACTTTGATGCATCTAATTTTATATAATAAGATACACTATATACTAATTTAAAACCAAAAACATATTTTAATAATATAATTAGTATAGCCTACATTTCGAATGGACCAGCCTGTTTTGAGTTAGTAAATTATGCCTATTTAAGGCCCACTGTAAAAATATCTTATATATATATATATATATATATATATATATATATATATATATATATATATCTAAACCTGAAGTTTCTTTGTTTTCCGATAATTTCATCAGCACTTCTTTCACATCGTCAACACAACAACAAAACTCGCACGCTCTCTCTCACTCCCTCTGCTTGAATTAACTAACAGGTTTTTTCTCTAAAGACTTTGTTTTGATTAGTCTCTGATTAGTTTTGTTTCTTAAATCAATAGATATCGTCTTGTGCTTCTTCTTCATCTTCTGTTTTCCTTGTTGTTTTTTTTTCTGCAGAATAATGGATTCCAGCACTTATTTGCAGTTGAATGCTCGTTGGCTGTTTTAGAAATGCTTTTTTTCCGAGGAACAGTTCCAAAGGAAATGTAAGTATCTCTCTCTCAAAAACTAGGGTTTCAAATATCTGGAGGTTTGTTTAATTTCTTCGCCTTTTTCTTGATTCCTCTCTGCAAATATTGAAATTAAGGATTCAGGTTTCTGGGTTTTGTTCAATTTTTCCCAAAGCGGTAATATATCATGATTCCTCTATATAATTACTGAAATTAGGGATTCTGGTTTGTGGATTTTTTTCAATTCTTCTGAAATCGCTAACCTTTTTCATAATTTTTATGCAGCTTGACCCATTCATCCCAAATCGATCTGCCATCGATTTCGACTTTGCTCTCTATGCGCTTACGCACGGAAAATGAAAAGATGAACATGAAAGTTATCTTTCACACTCGAGAGAAGCTTACATGAGGCAATTGGTTGAGGTGTTGAATCTGAACTGCACACGCATCCTTGCGTTTTGGAACAAGCCTTAATCTCGAGCCACACCTTTTCTCAAGGATTACTATGCTTCTCGTAAGCAGCAACCCGCAAAGCCACGTCGTAGGCATCCCACAGACTCCCCAGAAAATTTTAGATTTGCCTGACCTTGTAGATGACTTTGATCTCAACTTGCTCTACTAGGGAGTGCCAATATTGTAGCCATAGCTATAGACCGCACTATGTATCTCTGGGATGCTTCCAGGGGTTCTATTTCTGAGCTTGTGACCATTGATGAAGATGAAGGACCTGTCACAAGCGTAAGCTGGGCACTTGATCGTCATAAACTTGCAATTGGACTCAACAACTCTGAAGTCCAGCTTTGGGATTCTGCAGCCAACCGCCAAGTGAGTACATTGAAGGGTGTTCACCAGTCTCAAGTGGGATCATTGGCGTGAACCAACATATCTTAACAACGGGAGGAGGAGACATGTTTATGATAATCTTATTATATAAAGTTGGATGCATCAAAGTTTGTAATTTATCTGATTGTGACATGTGGCAATTTAAATCAATCAGATTTTGACTTGTGTCAGTTAAAAATAATATTCGGAAAATAAAGAAAATGAAAGGATAAATATAGATTAATTTTCCGAATATTATTTTAACTGACACATGTAGAAATCTGTTTGATTTAAATTGTCACATGTCACAATCGGATGAATTACTAATTTTGATGCATCCAATTTTATATAATAAGATACACAATATACGAATTTAGAACAAAAAATATATTTTAATAACTAACTTAGTATAACCTACAAGTCAAATGGACCAGCCTGTTATGAGTTGATAGATTGGGCCTATTTAAGGCCCATTGCCAAAATATCATATATATATATATATCTAACACTGATGTTCCGTTGTTTTCCGAAAATTTCATCTGCACTTCTCTCACATCATCAACACAACAACGAAACTCGTGCTCTCTCTCTCTCTCTCTCTCTCTCTCTCTCTCTATCCCTCTACTCAAATTAACTAACACATTTTTTTCTCTAAAAGATTTGTTTCGATTTAGTCTGTGATTAGTTTTATTTCGTAAATCAATAGATATCGTCTTGTGCTTCTTCTTCATCTTCTAAGTTCCTTGTTTTTTTTTGTAGAAAATTGGATTCCAGCAATTATTCGCAGTTGAGCGCTCGTTTGCTGTTTCAGAGACGCTTTCTTCCGAGAAACAGTTCCAAAGAAAACGTAAGTATCTCTCTCTCAAAAATTAGGATTTCAAAAATCTCGGGGTCTGTTCAATTTCTTCGCCTTTTCATGATTCCTCTCTGTAAATATTAAAATTAGGGATTCGGGTTTCTGGGTTTTGTTCAGTTCTTCCCAAATCGCTAACTATTTCATGATTCCTCTCTGTAATTACTGAAATTAGGGATTTGAGTTTCTGGGTTTTTTTCAATTCTGCTGAAATCATTAACCTTTTCATGATTCTTATGCAGCTTGACCGATTCATCCCAAATCGGCCTGCCATCTATTTCGACTTTGCTCACTATACGCTTACGGACGGAAAAGGCAAAGGTGAACATGTAAGTTCTTTTTCACCCTCGAGAGAAGCTTACATGAAGCAATTGGCTGAGGTGTTGAATCTGAACCGCACATGCATCCTTCCCTTTAGGAACAAGCCTCAGCCGCGAGCCACACTTTCTTTCAGGGATTACTATGCTTTTCGTGAGCAGCAACCTGCAGTGCCAAGGCACATTCACATCCCACAGACTCTCCAGAGAATTTTAGATTTGCTTGTCCTTGTAGATGACTTCTATCTCCACTTGCTCTACTGGGGAAGTGCCAATGTTGTAGCCATAGCTGTCGACCGCACTGTGTATCTCTAGGATGCTTCCAGGGGTTCCACTTCTGAGATTATGACCATTGATGAAGACGAAGAACCTGTCACAAGCGTAAGCTGGGCACTTGATGGTCATAAACTTGCCGTTGGACTCAACAACTCTGAAATCCAACTTTGGGATTCTGCAGCGAACCGCCAAGTGAGCACATTGACGGGTGTTCACCAGTCTAGAGTGGGATCATTGGCGTTGAACAAACATATCTTAACAACATGGGAGGAGGAGACAGGTTATCGTAATCTTATTATATAAAGTTGGATGCATCAAAGTTTGTAATTCAACTGATTGTGACATGTGGTAATTTAAATCAATCATATTTTGACACGTGTGAGTTAAAAATAATATTCAAAAAATAAAAAAAATGAAAGGATAAATATAGATTAATTTTCTGAATATTATTTTTAACTGTCACATGTCAAAATCTGATTGATTTAAATTGATCACATGTCACAATCAGATGAATTACTAACTTTGAAGCATCAATCTTATTATATAAAGTTGGATACATCAAAGTTAGTAATTCATATGATTCTGACATGTGGCAAATAATTCGATTTAGATTTTGACACATGTCACGATTAAATTAAAAATAAATTAAAATTCAAAAAATATCACTATTGTTAAAAAAATAAATAAGAAAATATAACCACTATAATATCTAAAAAACAAGAAATAGTATAGGTGAATTAAGAAAAGGAATTTTTTTTCTCAAAAAAGTAAAAACTAATCTTAAAGGAAAAAAATAAATATTATTCACATCTTTATAAACATATAAGATTTCTTATAATTTTACTAGGCTCATTTTACTCTTAGGCCGAAACAAACAAATAAAATGAGAAACTGATGAATTGATAAAAAAACAATTAGAATTGCAGAAGTAAAATAAAGTAGAGAGCCAGTTTTCTTTTGAAATATGTAGCAAATTTTTTATGTTAGTAATTGACATGATTGTAATACATGTCATGTTTTTGAATTAAAAATTTGACACGTGTTGCAATTAAATTAAGATTAAAACATAAATTTAGGAAATATCATAATTATTAATATATATACTACAATATCTAAAAAATGAATATATTGAAAACAAAAATTTGTTTTTATCTATTTCAACTAAAAAAGGAAAAACAGTTTTTAAAAAAAAGTGTAAAGACTAGTCCTGAAAGAATAAGAAAATTATTATTCACATATATTTATAAATACATAAAAATATTTATAATTTTTCTTTCTTAAACTCAAATCAATTGTATAAGATGAAAAACTAATGAAGCGACGAAAAACAATCATAACTGCAGAACCAATTTTGCTCTGATACCATTTTACCAAATGAGATTCTCGATGAGAGTTTGTTAGAGAAAAATCATATTTGTGAAAAATGTAAAAGTAAATATGGAATGAAAGAGATAACCAGTTTTTTTAATCAGTTTTTATTTTAAGTTCTTTTGCGAAAATATTCTCAATCTTATTTTTTTATGTTACATTGATCTAATTTTGTTCTATAATTGTTCATGTTCATTCATATTTTTAAAAATATAAAAGTGGTTTATCAGTTCTATTATAAGTGATTTTGCAAAAAACATTTTCTCAATCTTACTTTTTCAATGTTCACAATGATCTAATTTTGGTTTTTTTTTTTACTTTTTATGTTAGTCATATTTGTAAAAATATAAAAGTAAACATGAAACGAAAGAGAGCGCCAGTTTCTTTAATCAATTCTATTATAAGTGGTTATGCGAAAATATTCTCAATCTTAATTTTCAATGTTCACAATGATCTAATTTTTTTTTAGTTTTTCATATTCAGTTTTTTTTAACAGGTTATGTAATAGTTGTATAAATAAGTGTATATACAGATCACATTCTAAGTTAAAATTATTTAAATGTATGTGAGTCAATTAAACAAAATTTACCACGTGTAATAAATATTTTGACTAACAAAACATCGAATATAAATACAGAAATAAAGATAACTGAAACTATTTATTTTTGTTTTTATTTTATTATTTATAAATTTTAAAACAATTCTCAAACCCATGTATACACGGGTTCTAATGTAGTTTTTTATAATAAGATACACAATATACTAATTTAGAATTAAAAATATATTTTAATAACGTAATTAGTATAACTTACATGTCGAATAAACCAGCCTGTTTTGAGTTGATAGATTGTGCCTATTTAAGGCCCATTGTAAAAATCCCACATATATATATCTAACCCTGAAATTCCGTTGTTTTCCCATAATTTCATCTGCACTTCTCTCACATCATCAACACAACAACAAAACTAGCGCTCTCTCTCTCTCTCCCTCTGCTCCAATTAACTAACGCGTTTTTTCTCTACAGACTTTGTTTTGATTTAGTCTCTGATTAGTTTTGTTTCATAAATCAATAGATATCGTCTTGTGCTTCTTCTTCATCTTCTGTTTTTCTTGTTCTTATTTTTTTTTTCTGAATAATGGATTCCAGCAATTAGTCGCAGTTGAACGCTCGTTGGCTGTATTAGAGATGCTTTCTTCCGAGAAACAGTTCCAAAGAAAACGTAAGTATCTCTCTCTAAAAAATAGGGTTTCAAAAAGCTGGAGGTTTGTTCAGCTTCACCTTTTGTTGATTCCTCTCTGTAAATATTGAAATTAGGGATTCAGGTTTCTGTGTTTTGTTGGATTCTCCCCAAAGCGCTAACTATTTCATGATTCCTCTTTATAATTACTGAAATTAGGGATTCAGGTTTGTGGATTTTGTTCAATTCTTCTGAAATCGCTAACTTTTTTTATGATTTTTATGCAGCTTGACCCATTCATCCCAAATCGATCTGCCATCGATTTTGACTTTGCTCACTATGCGCTTACGGACAGAAAAGGCAAAGATGAACAAGTAAGTTATCTTTCACCCTCGAGAGAAGCTTACAGAAAGCAATTGGCTAAGGTGTTGAATCTGAACAGCATCTTTGCGTTTAGGAACAAGCCGCAATCTCAAACCACACCTTCTCTCAGAGATTACTATGCTTCTCGTGAGCAGCAACCCGCAAAGCCACGGCGTAGACACATCCCACAAAATCCCCACAGAATTTTAAATTTGCCTGATCATGTAGAGGACTTCTATCTCAACTTGCTCGACTGGGGAAGTGCCAATGTTGTAGCCATAGCTATAGTGCAAATGAAGGACCTGTGACAAGCTTAAGTTGGGCACTTGATGGTTAGAAACTTGCAGTTGGACTCAACAACTCTGAAGTCCAGATTTGGGATTCTGTAGCCAACAACAAAGTGGGCACATTTAAGAGTGTTCACCAATCTCGAGTGGGATCTGATAGGTACGAGGCAGAACATCAACCGGTTATCTACCATTACCGAAGAAAGGTCAAACCGACACATGCTTGAACCGGAGTGCTGCTTTTGTGGAGTGTGGCGTGGTCCCGAAGGAGTGTCGTTAATCGTAGTAGAGTCAGAATAAACTGTAGTAAGGTGTCTGTCGCTATCTCATCACATGGGCTTTAACGGTTGGTGTGAACAGTTAGTAGTGTCGTTTAGTATATTAAGAAGTAAGGGTTGTAGTAAGAGGGGGGCAAGACATTTGTGAGTGATCTTGTGTGAGGAGGAGGAGAGATCTTCCATAAAAATCTCTCAGTTTGTACTCGTTACTACAAAAGTTATAATCTTTGCCCTTTAAAGTTGCTTCTTTTATTAAGTTTCGATTACAACTTGTATCAAACTTTGTATCAGAGCAATCTTACCTGGGAAAAGATGGGTCCTAAGCCGGGAAACGATCTGAAGAAAACCGTGGAAGAGATGCAGGAAGAGATGGGTTCTATCGTCTCGACCTTGGACGAGATGAAGCAACAGATGCGGGTGTTGGCGCTCCTGGAGAAACGATTCATAGAGGAAGAGGAGGCCAAGAAACACCAGCTGGAATAAACGCCTATTTCCGACAAACAATCTGACACCGTTGGAACGTCGGGAGAGGCGCCAGGGCTTACGGGAACCACGAAGACAGAGGCGTTACCGGCGAAAGCCGGCGAACCAACACCCACCGCGGACGCATGTCTAGTGACCGTCACGGTGTCACCGACAGTGCCACCGGCGGAGCAAAAAACCCCCGACGCTAAGGAAGAGCCACTGATGAGGAAGATGGCCATTCCCCTGTTTGGCGGAACTAATGCTGAAAGTTGGGTCCTTCGCGTGGAGCAATATTTTGAGTTGGGGGATCTGTCGGAAACAGACAAACTCAGAGCGGTGAGGATGAGCTTTGAAGACGAAGCTCTGCTGTGGTATCGATGGGAGCGCGACAGAAACCCCTTTACCGAATGGGAACAGATGAAGTCGCGTGTGCTGGAAAACTACGCAGTAACCCACGATACGACCGCAAGGGAACATTTACTAGCTTTAAAACAGGTGGGCTCGGTGAGGGTTTACAATCGCGATTTTATCGCACTCGCCTCCAATGCTCTGGAGCTGACAGATAGCATGTTTGAGCTGGCCTACAGAGTAGGGCTAAAGGCGAAAGTGCGAGCAGGCGTAAAAATGTTCGAAACCCGTACTCTGCAACAGTTGATGGAGGTTGCTCGGAAGGTGGACGAATGGTCAGTACTGGAGGAGGCTTCGCCGGAGGGACAGGCCAGGACAGTACGGCAAGAAGATGGGAGGTTCGCTATACAACAAAACCGTGTGGACCCAAGTCGTGGAAATGGGCCCAACCAAACACGGCCCAGATCCATCAATAACTTAGAAAGTCAAACGACATCGCTTCGGGGAGGGAACAACAAAAACCTAAAACCGTCACCTCGAGCTTCACTCTCCCGCAAACCACCACTTCAGAGACTTACACCAGAGGAAATGGCCGATAGAAGGGCTCGAGGGCTCTGTTTCCGATGCGATGAGAAGTACTACAAAGGGCACGACTGCTGTTACAAGGAACTCCAACTTCTGGTGGTGAAGGAAGATGACACAGAAAGTGAGTTCTTCTGGAACGAGGATGACGACGGGGATGAGGAGATCTC